AGTAAATCCGATTATTCGTAGGGAACAATATAAATTACGTGGCTAAGCCACGTGATTTATCTAGTAAATCAGTTATCATTCACAACCTAACCAATAACAAGTACTTAAAATGTTAAAATCAAATAAAGAAATTACTCATAAAAAATTAAAAAAAAAAAAATAAAAGGATACGTCCAGAATTGCACGAAATAATGCGATCTAACTAAAATTTTTTTTGCTCCATTACTTATGATCGCCACTGTATATATAAATCTTTAACTCTTTTTCAAAAGTGACACAAATTGATATACATGCTAAAAACCCTTTAAAATCTAATCCTAGCGTTAATATTTAAATTAAAAATTTTTTTTGCAATTTTACATAATTTTATATAGAAATAGGTATCGATTTATATAAATAATTATGTAAACCTACACTGAGTTTATAAAGTTTTTATAAGGTTCAATAAAAATTCTACATAACTTTGCATAAAAATTTTACATAAATCCATGTAAAAATGTACTTGATGACTAAAACAAGAAACACTACTAGAAAATACTCGGAAAACAAATAAATAATTATAATACATTAATCATCAAACTTTGACAACTTTAAATCAAAAATGTCATTCCACCACCAAGCATTATAAGCCAACCTGTTTGGAGTATGAAGATTTGGTATTCCTTTTAATGCACCTCGTGTAGAATGTTCAATAATTTTATTTTTAACATCTTTTGGATGTTTTGCAATACCCATTGAAATAAATAAAGCACATAAACCACTTATATGAGGAGAAGACATTGAAGTTCCTGATAAAGTTGCAACCACATTATTTTCTGAACCTATCCAAGATGATAAAATATCCACACCCTATTTTTTATAATTAGAATAATGTTAATAAAGCAACACAAAATGATTTAATGATTAATAAAAATTATATACCGGAGCAAAAATATCTACACATTTGCCATGATTAGAAAACCATGCACAGTTATCATTAATATCTGAAGCGCCTACAGTAATAGCTGATTTAGCAGACGCAGGTGATTCATTACAAGCATCATTATTATCATTTCCAGCAGCCACGGCAACAACGATCCCTTCTCGTACAGCCTTAAACAGAAGAAAAAAAAAATTACAACTAATTCAAAATTTTTTATAAGAGAAAAAATATATTAACATTACCGCATTGACAGCATCATTTGTGGCGATACTTTTATCACCACCTAAACTCATATTAATTACAGATCCCTTATGATCATTGCTCATTTGTTTCGATTTATGTTGAATGACTGACCATTCAATACCTTTGAGGATGTCTGAAATATAGCCATAACCATAAGAGTTCAAAACTTTAACGGCAACCATTGTCGCTTTCTTGGCGACTCCATAAGTTTTACCCGCAACTATTCCAGCAACATGAGTTCCTAAAAAGAAGAATAATAATAATAAATTATAAATTAATAAATTATATGACTAATAAATAATAATAATTTAATTTAATAATAATTTATGATAAAAGCATTCATTGTATGCTAATAAAACGTACCGTGGCCATTACCATCATTATTATCATAATTATCATTAGAATAATCAATACCCCAAATAGCCCTTCCTTCAAAATCATCATGATGTATGTTTATACCAGTATCTATGATATACACCGTCACACCATTACCACCACTTTCATGATACCAATACCGTCCAGTGTCAGATGGCCAGTCATCAACCCTAGCAGAAATTCTGGCTAAACCCCATGGAGGATCATATTGAATTTTATATCTTTATCGTCTAATAATTTAATACTAATTTGTTTATAACTTAATAAGGTAGATTATGTGGAGAAAGATCAAATAGTTCAATTAAATTATAAAAAGAATAAGAGAAAAAGATATAAAATTCAATATGATCCTCCATGGGGTTTAGCCAGAATTTCTGCTAGGGTTGATGACTGG